GCCGACTCCGAACTGCGATTGTATTTTTATGAGAAGCTGTTTATCATGGCAGAAACACACTCGGAGGTTTGCACTTGCTTGCCGAGAGGCGACCGTTGTTAAGAAAAAACCTCTTCTATTTTTTTTTTGGATTTGCTTTCCCCAGGGATTGAATCCCGGCTCTTCGGAGTGGTAGCGCGCACTGCTAAGCACTACACAGCATAGCAGCCGCCGCAGGTGTTGCATTTCATAAATTCTACTTCATACTTGGAATTTCATATACCAGTTGATTTTTTGACAGTATTTATTTAGTATTTAAAATTTATATGGCCCAACAAACGATGCCATTTCTCCTTTTGGCTCATAATTTTCTTATCTTTGTTCACAAACGGTCCAGCTAACTTAATATAATATAATAATAGATTGGCGCTTACACATATGTTCGTGTTTGGCCGAGCTTCTCCTCCGATTTGTGGCGTGCGCCTCGATGTTGTCACACAAAGCGGAGGGACCTACAGTTTTATGGCCAAGAGTTTTCTGCTGTCATTTAAGCACAGTAAGCTGATCAGATGGCACCGAGGCTCATATGACGGAATCGGGAGTGTGAAGTTTAATGAATGTCGAGCGAAACGAAGAAACATTTTCTGTACTCTTTCCAACCTATTTATAGGAATAGCATAGTATGGTCTCCAAATAAATGGCACACATTATAATTTAGACCGTACAAAAGCCGAAAACAGCATCTTAAGTGTGTATAAAGAGAAATTCGAAAAGCTCCTTCCTGCAAACGCAAGCATAGCAAGCGAGTTTTTATTATATAATACAGGCCACCAAAAATGGAAAAAGTTTTGGTGCGGCAAATGTTAAAGCTGTTTTTGATAGACTTTTTGGTGCTGATTCAGAATCCGTAAGTACAATGTTTTCATCAGCTCCAGAGGTGAAAGTGTCAAAAAATCGCGTTTTATGCAATATTTGAGAAGATCTACTGGAAACCCACCAGAAATTGCTTACAAAGCATTTTGTTGTGTTCCCTTACGGGGAGCACTTGGGCCTCGCTGTGTAGGTGGTGCTCAGGTGTCATCAGAACTACTAGTCCAACTAGTCCCCGGCGTCCAAACTGGCGCAGCGTATTTAAGAACCGGCCGGCCAATTGCCTTGTATGTTGCCAGCAACGATTCCTTTTCTTTGCCCCAGGTGCTGCTGGCGAGCGACTGGAGGACCTTGTTGCGGCTCTGTACTATATTGACAACTACGGTTGTGTGCGTAGAGTAGGAGAGCAGGCTATCGAAGATGACCCCTAAAATTTTCGGGTTGTTTACAGTCGGTATTGGTGTGCTATCGACGTATACACCTAATTCTAGCCTGACCTTCGTCCAGGTGGTGAAGAGGGTCGCCGTTGATTTCGTTGGGGAGAGTGTTAGGCTCCTTGCAGTGAAGAAGCGAGAAAGGCTGAGATCAGGGAAACTCCCTCAGGTGGCTGGGGAAGCTTCGAGATGTAGAAGTTAAATAATAAGGGAGAGAACACAACCTTGTGCAACCCCTTGTTTAATTCTTCTTGGTTTCGAGGTTTGATCTCTGAAGATTACTGACGACTGTTGACCACTCTTATAATTCGCCGACCATCGCTTCAGTCCCTGTCGGAATGGGGAAGCCTCAATGTCTTCTAGCAGCGTGGAATGGCAGACTGTGTCAAACGCCTTTGACAAGTCCAGCGCTACTAGGACCGTTCTCTCACAGGGGCGGTTTGGATTTAGGCCACGAGTTATTTGGGTGTTTATGACGTTAAGTGCTGTTGTTGTGCTGTGCATTTTACGGAATCCGTGCTGATGCTTCGCTGTGGTCAGGTGGGCAGGTGAAGTATGGCAGTAGCAGGGCCTCTAGTATCTTCACTACCGGGGAAGGCTTCCCCGGTTTCAGCAGTGGGACCACTCCCTGATTTCCACACATCAGGAATGATGGGAGTGACCATAAACGGGTTCAGGATCTCCGTTAGGTAAGCTACTCCCGTGGGCCCCAAATGTTTCAGCATCAACATACAGATTCCGTCGGGTCCAATAGCTTTGGAGGCTTTCGCCTTCCCGATAGCCCCCTTCAAGTCGCAGCTGGTGAAAACAAGTGGTGCACTGTTTTTTGGCAGCTTGTGCAGCCTCCTGGTCACTCGGCGTTTGGCCCTGTCTACCGAAAGATGCAGTGTGAAGTAGGTTGTAGGTGCGACGAAGCGCGACCTTCGAATGAGATTTCCACTCTGTCATCACGCTTCGTTGGGTTACACAAGGACCTCACGGTTGACCAGATCTTACTCACACCAGATGTGAAGTTACAGGCCTTCAAGTGCTCCTCCCACTTTTTCCGCTTGTGCTGATTTACCAGTTGCCGAAACTCCAAATCCAGGTCCCTTAGGCGAGGGTCCCCGGGATCGACCTGGCGTAGGTGGTCACGCTCATTCGGTAGTACAGCTGCATCGGCTGGGAAATTTTGGCGGACTTCCGCGATACGTCCAGACGGGATGAATCGAGCCGCTGCGGCAGTGACTACCCTGCGGAACTGGCGTTCGCCAGCATGTACGTTTGTGGGTGTGGGAAGGGCGGCGAAGCTGCTCTCGGTAACTTCCGGGAAGCCGCCCCAATCAGCTTTGTTAAAGTTGGTGTAGGTTCGGTGGTCCGCGGGAGCAAAGTCGGTGGGCTTATTGATCGAGATGATTATGGGTAGATGGTCTGATGCTAGTGTTAGCATAGGTCGCCATGATATGGTATTGATCAGACCAGCGCTAGCAATTGTAAGGTCTGGCGAGTTGCTGCAGCTACCCACAATCCTGGTGGGGGCGTTGTCGTTCATGGTGCTGAATGTCGAATCGTCTATCTGCTCAGCCAAAAGATTTCCCCTACGATCATTAGCCAGGCTTGAGTGCCAGAGATCGTGGTACGCATTGAAGTCACCTACTATCATTCGGGTTTCACCTCTGAGTAGCGCACCTATGTCAGGGGGATGTCCTGCCGGGCAGCAGATGACAGGGGGTATATAGACGTTAAATATTTCGAGCTCGACATCGCCTGACCGGACAGCAATGCCCTGACATTCTAGGGTGGTGTCCCTCGGGTCGATGTCTTCTTCCATAAGCCGATACTGCACTGTGTGGTGTAGGATGAACGCTAATCCCCCACCATTATCTCTATCGCGATCTTTACGGAGCACATTGTAGGCGGCGCAACCCAACAGGGTTGAGTTACTGTGCAACTTCGTTTCTGGAACCGCAGCTGTCAATATGCCATGCCGACCCATAAAGACTACTATCTCCTCAATCTTGCTCTGGAGTCCGTTGCAGTTGAGTTGTAGGAGTTTGCGGCCGTTGGAGCCGTGCAGGCTCTGCGAGTGTTGGGTGCATTGTGCGAGCGGGTAGCTGTGGAGGCTGATTGTGCCGTTTGGCTTGAGCAGCAGGAAGCCACATAGCTTGTGGTCCACTCCCGGTGAGATCTTAGACCAAAGCAGGTTCTTAGGTGACTCCCTCCGTTGCAAGAGTTGCACCTAACCGAAGTGGAGTTCGGATGGAGTCGATTCTGGCAAAAACAGCAGAAATATGTTTCTGGTCCGGGGTTGGGATCAACGCCCGCCCGGAGAAGAAGGATGCGGAGCAATCCGGCTGCAAGGAGATGCTCCATGAACGGACAATGAATGAAGGGTATCGCCGATTTAAGCGGGGTTAGGTCACCGAAACAACAGCCCTTGGTCGGATAAAACCCGAGTCAGTCCGGTACGTAGAACCGACTGTCGTGGGAATGTATCCTCGGGCTCATCGGTAAAACATAATTCGTAACTGAGTTCCATTTTCTTGCTTTTAATTATTTTAATAACATTAAAATAACATAATATTATGAAAATAACTATTTCTATCGATTTTCCGACCTTTTCAATGATTACAGTCAACTGAAAATAGTTGTGAACGGAAATAGCAATAAATAGTTGAGTTGCATACAAGTTGAGTTGTCTCAGATACAACTATAATAGGGACCTTATACTCTTGGGTTGTCAAATTAAAGCGCTTGGCCTGTTGATGTGCAAACTGGTTTTATTTTTTCTAATGGGTCGATTATGGATGGCAACGCAACCGCAGTTGGGTGGGCAATGGGCAACGCCACTGAAATTAAAATGTATATTATGAATAGCAACTAAGACTTGAGTGTAAATAAGCTGAAGAAACAGTTGAAAAAAGAAATAAATTATAGCAACTCAGTTGCCAGCTTTCAGTTGCCACTTGCCATCTATAATACCATTTCAGCCACTGGCCACCCAAATGAAGTTCGGTGGCAATCCGTAATCGACCCATAAACCTAATTTGAATGTATTTCAAGGAGAAAATTGGGATTTTGGGTTAGGGGATTTTGAGTTTGAGTAAACAGCTGATCTTTGTATTCGACTATTGAAAATATTAGGCGCGAATTTTTGGATATTCATTTTGACAGCTGCAAGTTTCTGCTAGCCAAAAAAATAAGAGCGTAAGAACGAGAGAGAGCTGCTAGTTTTTTGGGTTAAGAAACGCTTTCCAGCAGAAATTAGTGTCAATATGTGATAATTATCTGTTAAGAAACAAAGCTAAGGCGAATTTATGCAAGGTGGTAGCGGCAGCCCAAAATCAAGAACTACACTAACAATTTACACGCACATTGACAATAATTACAAAACAAAATTACATCAAACACATCATTTTGACATACAGTACAAATTCGCCTTGAAATCGGCGGCTCCGGTAAAACTACCTTATAGAAATTCGCTTTGAGTTCACACATATGAGCATAGCCTGATTAACATGAGCCATATAAATATACAATTTAATGTATTAGGTATATATACTCAATAAAAAATAACAAAATAATTATAGCTTGCAAAACATTGTGAATATTTAAAAATCATAAGGGTGTATGGAGATATAATGGAGGGAGTGTATTTATGTCCATACCTACATAATAGCTATGTATATAATTAATTGCCGGTTACAAATTTATTTATTTATTATTGTCGTTTATCGCAGATGATGGGACTAGATATCGCAGATGAGCAAATAGATGAAATGCAAGCGCATGTGGATGGTATAGACTTCGAAGCAGCTGCTGCTGAAGAGTGCTTGACAAGACATGATGTTATGGCTCACGTGCATGTTTTTGCTAAACAATGTCCCAAAGCGGCTGCTATCATTCATTTAGGGGCAACATCATGTTATGTGGGGGATAATACTGACCTCTTAATTTTACGTGACGCATTAGATTTGATTTTACCCCGAATTGCCTCCATAATACACTGTTTGAAGAATTTTGCTATAAAATACAAATCACAACCGACTTTAGGGTTTACACATTTGCAACCTGCCCAACTTACCACAGTCGGCAAACGAGCTTGCCTGTGGACTCAGGACTTCATGATGGATGAACGTGCATTAAGTCGGTGTCGTGAAGATTTGCGCTGTCGTGGTGTAAAAGGGACTACAGGAACTCAAGCTTCATTTCTACAACTCTTTAATGGGGATGGAGAAAAAGTTAAGCAGTTAGATAATTTAGTAACCAAACTAGCAGGCTTCGATAAATCTTATTCAATAACCGGACAAACTTATTCAAGAAAAGTTGACGTTGAAGTTATTGGAGCAATATCAAGTTTAGGTACAAGCATTCATAAAATGTGCTCAGATTTAAGATTACTGGCTTCACGCAAAGAGATAGAAGAACCGTTTGAAAGCTCGCAAATAGGTTCATCAGCTATGCCCTACAAAAGGAATCCTATGCGTTCAGAACGCTGTTGTGCACTGGCAAGGCATTTAATAACACTATTCTCCAATGCTGCTAATACACATGCAACTCAATGGTTAGAGCGTACACTTGATGATTCGGCTAATCGTCGTTTGACTCTTTCAGAAGGATTCCTAGCGGCAGATGCAGCATTGCTTACTCTCCTAAATATATCGCAAGGACTAGTAGTCTATCCAAAAGTTATCGAGCGACATATCGCGCAAGAATTACCTTTTATGTCGACCGAAAATGTAATAATGGCCATGGTTAAAGCGGGCGCTGATCGTCAAGTGTGCCATGAAAAGATACGTGTTTTATCTCAGGAGGCTGGTGCGCAAGTTAAGCAACACGGAAAGGACAATGATTTGGTTGAACGTATTCGGAAAGACACCTATTTTGAACCGATTCTTAACAAACTTGACGAAATACTTGATGCACACACTTTTACGGGCCGAGCTAGCGACCAAGTTGATGATTTTATCAATGACGAAGTTGAACCCCTATTGGAAAAATACAAAGAATGTTTGAAAAAAATACAAAACGTGCAATTGAATATTTAAATCTCATATCAAACTAAAAGTGTCTTGTTAAAAATGTATTTATAGAATAAATCATACATTTATATACATATAAGTATGTATAAGTGCATGCACATTATACCGTCCGTTAAACAAAAATAGTTTTGCCGGGTAGAAAAAGATGTATTTAGGTCTAGAGTGCAATCTTGTGGGTACGCAGTTACAGTTGCATGGCTATATTCAATCCCGACTCTTGCGTCCTCGTTCGCGCACTCTGGGCAATGTGAGCAACCCATGTGCGAGATGTGGTAACCAATCTGAGTGGAGCCTTGGGCCACTCCGACTTATTCGGTTTAAGGGCTCACTGAAGTCTGCAGCGTCTGTTCACCACTAGGTACGGCTGCAAGCGGGTGTCTGCTTGGAGCAAGTGGCTCGCTATATAAACGTGTATTTGGTTGCGAAACCACCCCCGTCCCAGCAATAGCTTGTGCTCTGGGCTTGGGACCCGCCACGTAGAAACCACTTTCAGTGAAGAAGCAAGGCAAAGCCTCGGATGAGACCCCCCCCCCCTTATGATGACGACCACGGCAAACGTTTGAAGCACTACGATTTGAGGGCATGCACCTGGAATGTCCGGACTCTTAATGGGGCAGGTTCCCCTGCCCTGCTGGTTGATGTCCCCGTAAGGACAAAAGCTGACATCACCGCCATCCAAGAAATGCGTTGGACGGGGCAAGGCAAGAAATGTCTGGGGTCTTGCGACGTCTACTACAGCTGCCATGTAAAGGAGCGCAAATTCGGAGTTGGATTTGTAGTGGGAGAGAGACTCCGTCGCCGAATACTGTCGTTCACCCGGGTGGACGAGCGTCTAGCCACAATCCGCATAAAAGCGAGATTCTTCAACATCTCGCTTATCTGCGCCCATGCCCCGACGGAAGAGAAGGATGAGGTATCCAAGGATCTCTTCTATGAGCGCTTGGAGCGCACATACGAGCGCTGCCCCCGTCATGATATCAAAATCGTGCTTGGCGATTTTAATGCCAGGGTGGGCAAGGAAGGGATCTTTGGAACCACCGTCGGAAAAATCAGCCTCCACGACGAAACGTCCGACAACGGATTGAGGCTGATTGACTTCGCCGGGGCCCGAAGCATGGTAGTATGCAGTACTAGGTTCAAGCATAAAAAGATCCATCGAGCTACGTGGCTGCCTCTGGATCGAAAAACGAGAAACCAAATCGATCATGTTATGGTAGACGGAAGGCACGCTTCCAGTGTTTTAGACGTACGCACACTCCGAGGCCCAAACATCGACTGGAACCACTATTTTGTTGCAGCCAAGATACGCACCCGCCTCTGTGTAGCAAAAAATGTGAGCCCAAATATGCAAGGAAAGTTTAACGTCGAAAAGCTGCAATCACAACAGACAGCCAGCGCTTTCGCTACTCGACTCTCACACCTGCTCTCAGAGAGCACTCTTCAACAAACCGACATATGCGAGCAGTGGAACCACATTTCCCGCTCATTAAGTACCACCGCCGAAGAAGTAGTCGGATTTCAGCGAGCCCGAAAGAACAACTGATACGATGAGGAGTGTCAGGAAGCTGCAGAGAAAAAAGATGACGCCTACAGGGCCACGCTGCGATCGGGCGCAACGCGCGCTATGTGGGACCGCTATAGGGATCTGAAGAGGGAAGCGGGACGTATTTGCTGCAATAAGAAGAAATACGTGAGTGCGAAGAGCTTGAAATGCTAGCCGACAGGAAGAATGCCCGAAAATTTTACCAGAGAGTTAGGCGACTTACGGAAGGTTTAAAGACCGGGGCGTACTCCTGTAAGAACAATAATGGCGACCTAGTAACTGATGTCCTGAGCGTACTTAAATTATGGAGGGAACACTTTTCCGCCCTACTAAGTGGTAGCAGCACGGAAAGTTGCGGAGAAGAAGAACCCGAGCCCGCAGTCGATGATGACGGAATCGACGTTCCACCGCTTGACTATGACGAGGTACGTATAGCAATAACGCGGCTGAAAAACAACAAAGCTGCTGGAGCTGACAGCCTGCCAGCTGAGCTATTCAAGAACGGCGGCGGGGAGTTGATAAGGTGCATGCATCAACTCTTGTGCAGAATATGGTCAGATGAATGCATGCCCGACGACTGGAATTTAAGTGTGCTCTGCCCAATCCATAAGAAAGGTGACCCCGCCATTCGCGCCAACTACCGCGGGATCAGCCTTCTAAGCATAGGTTACAAGGTCTTATCGAGCGTATTGTGTGAAAGACGGAAGCCCACCGTCAATGAACTGATTGGGCCTTATCAGTGTGGCTTTAGACCTGGAAAATCCACCATAGATCAGGTATTCACAATACGCCAAATCTTGGAAAAGACCCGCGAGAAGAGGATCGACACTCACCACCTTTTTGTCGACTTTAAAGCCGCTTTTGACAGCACTAAAAGGAGTTGCCTATACGGCGCTACGTCTGAATATGGCATATCCTCAAAACTCATACGGCTGTGTAAAATGACGTTGAGCAATATCACAAGCTCCGTCAGAATTGGGAAAGACCTCTCCGAGCCGTTCGCCAGAAAACGGGGTTTCATACAGGGCGACTCCCTTTCATGTGACTTCTTTAATCTGCTGTTGGAGAAGATAATAAGAGCTGCAGAACTGAACCGCTCAGGAACAATTTACTACAAGAGCGGTAACAAAAACCGCGAAGTCTGTTCGGCCTTTTCCAAGTTGGATAGGGAAGCAAAGCGAATGGGTCTGGTGGTAAACGAGGAGAAGACGAAGTATCTCCTGTCATCAAACAAACAGTCAGCACATTCGCGCCTTGGCACCCACGTCACTGTTGACAGTTACGATTTAGAGAAAATAGAGAATTTGGTTTACTTGGGAATCAGCATTAACACCGATAATAATGTCAGCATTGAAATCCAACGCAGAATCACTCTTGCCAACAAGTGCTACTTTGGACTGAGTAGGCAATTCAGGAGTAAAGTCCTCTCTGGACGTACGAAAACCACGCTCTGTAAGTCACTCATCATGCCCGTGCTGGTATATGGCGCAGAAGCATGGACAATGACAACTTCCGCTGAGGCGGCTCTTGGGAGTGTTTGAGAGAAAGATTTTGCGGAAGATTTACGGGCCTTTACGCGTTGGCGACGGCGAGTACCGCAGACGATGGAACGATGAGCTGTATGCGCTTTACAACGATATGGACATAGTACAGCGAATTAAAATACAGCGGCTCCGCTGGCTTGGTCATGTCGTTCGAATGGACACCGACGCTCCAGCTTTGAAAGTATTCAACTCGGAACCCGCTGGTGGTAGCAGAGGAAGAGGGAGGCCCCCACTGCGATGGAAAGATCAGGTGGAGAAGGACTTGGCTTCACTTGGCGTTTCCAATTGGCGTTAGTTGGCACAGAAGAGAAACGACTGGCGTGCTTTGCTGAAGTCGGCCAAAATCGCTTAGGCGGTTACAGCGCCAAAAAAGAAGAAGAAGAAGGTCGAAAGGAAGGGAAGAGGTAGTACACTACCTTTAGAGCTCAACCAGCTACCGATGGAGCGCTCTTCCATACCTGCCGTCCGTATCAACATATGAAATTGCTGTTAATTGAGACAGAGAACCAACGACAACGTCACGATCACGTGGTGGTGAGTTTTCGTTAACCCCACGTCTCCATTTTCGTGGGGACGTGGGGCAGCACGAGAATTCAAAAAGATTAGGAATGAAACATACCATGCCGGTATCAATACTTTTACTTAGAAGTAGGATCGCAGGAAAGTATCGATACCGGAATAATATCAGATCTTAAGTATCGATACCTATTCATATCGATACTTTTGGCTATGGAGGCATTCTGTACGAACAAAGTAAGTCGTTCCCACGACAGTCGGGTCTACGTAACCGGAACGACCCAGATTTATATCTGGCCAAGGACTCCACTCCAGCAACACTCCCCAAAAAGCCTTTTGGGGAATTTGTAGGCTGCTACAACAACAACAACAAAGTAAGTTAAATGATTTTTTTGTTATAAGTTAACGATTACCTGGTTTGACCGACCAAAGAGGGTGTTGACTAGAAATTTTTATCGAGAATGAGTTCAGCTCAATAAAAAAACGCCTAAATAACCACACTCTCTAACTGTCAAAATGCACAAATCTTTACAAATGTGCAAATCGTGTGATCCCTGCTTAAGATTTTTTTATAATCAACTTTTAACGGAGCTACTATACCCTGCTTTTAGAATTTTCCGTTAGTATTTTTACCGCGAAGAATAAGACCCTGTTCACACGACGGAAGCTAAACGCGCGTTTACAACTACCCGTATTTAGTTACTTTTTACTCAAGGTGTTCACATCCTAAGTTAAACGCAAATATAAAGGTGTTAGTATCAAAACGCGTGTCAAGCGCCCATCATGTGAACAGGGTCTAATAGATTTGCTCAGTAAGTTTATCATCGCGTTGAAATGTCTCTACTGAGCATTCATCCAGTTTACTCTTCCACTCGAACAGTTGGACCTTGCATACGTCGCCTTATATTGACTTTGGTGAAGCAATTGCAGCGTAAGTATATTTTTAGCATTATTTCGACTTTGTCGCCTCGCGATTTTTGCTGGCAATTAAGCAGCCAAGAAGAACAAAGCGCTTAGGAATAACAGTGGAGGAAAAATTGCCGTCTTCCCGGAAGTTACCGAGAGCAGCTTCGCCGCCCTTCCGAAGGGTAGTCACTGACGCAGCGGCTTGTTTCATACCATCCGGACGCATCGCGGGAGTCTGCCCTAATTTCCCGGCTGAAGCAGCTGCACCAGCAAGTATGAGTATGACCACCTACGCCAGGTCGACCCCAGGGATCCTCACCTAAAGGACCTTAATTTAGAGATTCGGCAACTGAAGTCCTGTAACTTCACTTCTGGTGTGAGTGTCCAACCCGACAAATCGCGACGACAGAGTGGGAATTTCATTCATTTCATTTACACTGCATCCTTCGGTAGATAAGGCGAAACGTGGAGTGACTAGCGGCGAAGTGAAGTGTGGGCCATCGGGATGGCGAAAGTCTCCAAGGCCATTGGACCCAACGAAATCTGTATGCTGATGCTAAACCATTTGGGGCCCACGGCAGT